CTGATTAGTCCAGTCAAACTTTGCTGGGAATGTTTCATCCTGCTTGGTTCAGTTAAACCTTCCTGGGATTATTTAATCCTGATTAGTCCAGTCAAACTTTGCTGGGAATGTTTCATCCTGTTTGGTTCAGTTAAACCTTCCTGGGATTATTTAATCCTGCTGGGTTTAGTCAAACCTTCCTGGGAATGTTTTATCCTGCTGGGTTTAGTCAAAGCTTACTGGGACTATTTAATCCTGATTAGTTCAGTCAAACTTTGCTGGGAATGTTTCATCCTGCTTGGTTCAGTTAAACCTTCCTGGGATTATTTAATCCCGCTGGGTTTAGTCAAACCTTCCTGGGAATGTTTTATCCTGCTGGGTTTAGTTAAACCTTCCTGGGAATGGTTCATCCTGGTTGGTTCAGTTAAACCTTCCTGGGATTATTTAATCCTGGTTGGTTCATTCAAACCTTGCTGGGACTATTTCCTCCTATTTGGTTTAGTCAAATCTTCTTGGGAATGTTTTATCCTGCTGGGTTTAGTCAAACCTTACTGGGACTATTTAATCCTGATTAGTTCAGCCAAATTTTGCTGGGAATGTTTCATCCTGCTTGGTTCAGTTAAACCTTCCTGGGATTATTTAATCCTGGTTGGTTCAGTCAAACCTTGCTGGGACTATTTCCTCCTATTTGGTTTAGTCAAACCTTCCTGGGAATGTTTCACCCTGCTGGGTTTAGTCAAACCTTACTGAGACTATTTAATCCTGATTAGTTCAGTCAGACTTTGCTGGGAATGTTTCATCCCTGTTGGCTCAGTCAAACCTTCCTGGGAATGTTTCATCCTGGTTTAGTCAAAGGTCCGGATCCGAGGCTGCATTTTTGGGGGGAAGGACGTACCCGGCAATTTTAACATCCAGGGCCCACATAATCCAGGATAGCAGAATCCAAGCTTTAAATCCATGTCAGAGGCATCCCACACATTATGGAACCAGCTATCCCTGGCTGATATCCTTTCCCATCCCATCCTTTCCCATCCCATCCTTTCCCATCCCATCACCAGCCTGATTTCACCGAATCCAAACGCCCTTCCCAGCCTGGCTGCCGATGCTCATCTTCCCTTACAAACACACTCCCAACCCATTTGTCACCGACTCCATGGTCCATTCCAGGCAGTTTTCCCCCTGGTCCTCTCCAGATGACGGGATATTTAGCCAGGAACACCAGGAGGCAGCTGCTCCGGGCATCATTCCCCGGATCATTGCCTGCCACGACTCCTGGGGGCCTGCAACTCAGCCCTTCCTTTGTTTGGAAGTAACCTTCCATGATTTCAGGCACTGCCACACTCAATCCTGTTAAATCCAGCTGCACCTCTCCCCTTTTCCCTCCCTCCACTAAATAACCTCCGGAGCAGGGACTTGTGACACGAGTTCAGCCGAACCTGTTTACTCCGAGAGCAGCGGGGGAGAACAAAATGCTTCGGAAAGACTCTGCTGGGAAAAACTCTCTATTCCCCTTTTTTTTTTTTTTTTCCCCCTAGGAAACTAATGTGCTCTGAAAAAGCACAGGGACTGCTGGAATTCACTTGTGAAATCCTGTTTGGATGTGCTTTTAAGGGAAAATGTTGCCGTCCCTCTGATCCTTCCCCCCTGGTTCCAGGAGGGCGATCCCAGGTGAGGAGCGGTCCCCAAATTTCAGGGAGGGGCCGGTGAAGCCAGGAGCAGCATTAATCTCTTCCCACCAGCCTTGAGAGATGGACAAAGCCCTGTGGAGATAAACCTGCCTTAAGCCAGGAGTAAATTCCTGGATG